GATAACGTAGCCCCATGTCAGGCGAAAGATTCCTGCCTTGCCGCGGGTTGGACTTGATGACCCTTAGGGATCTCTTCCTGCTCTACAATTCCTCGATTCTAGCATCTCCTCCAATTCCAGGGCTAAAGGGCTTGGGCAAAGAAACACAACCGTCGTGCGAAATGTGAGGGGGCAGATCAGAAGCTGCCACAGTTGGGGAGGGGGGCAATAAAAACCGTAACCCCTGAGAAGTCTGCAGTCAAATGGGTGGCATAGCTGTCAACTTACAGATTTGAAAATAAGGGACCAGCAGCCTTGAAAATAAGGGACCAGCAGCCAAAATAAGGGATTTTGGTCAACCCGTTAAAAGGGACCAGATAATTTTGGAGAGCAGGGCCGGTTTTTAGCCCTTCGTTTCCAGAGGTTGCTGCTCAAGACACCAGCTGATGAAACACTGCAATTAAATAACTACAAGCAGCAACCACTTTTCGCGCAAAACGAAGTCCAAGCTATGAAGATGCTGCTGCAGTTCTGTATCTTTTCTCTCGTGCTCCATCTGCAGCTCTCAATTCCATCAGGTGGGGCGGGAAATAGCGGCCGAAGTAAACCTGCAGATCAGACCATCTATGCTAGTCTACCACTACAAATCTATGCTTGCGGTCCTTCCCTTGTAGCCCTTGGAACATCTGCCCGTGCCTCCGCCTCCTCCTCTCCCTCCTCTCTCTGAACTGCTTTCTCTATGGTTGCCCTCGCTCTCCTCTCAAGGCTCCTTAGCAATTCATAGGCCATGCCAGGCTGCCCATCTCATCCAGGTCCTTCGGCGGCACAGCCACAGTACTAATGGGAGCGGCGGAGACGGGCAGAGGGGAGGCCCCAGGCAGAGACACTGCCACGAGGAGGATGGCGGCGGAAGGGTCCGAGGCTCCCGCCAGTCCTGGTGGGGAGGGGCTCCCAGGGGCCGAGGCTGGTGAGAGGAGGCCGGAGGGGGGCGGGCCGGGCAGCCAACCAACACAGTTGGAGCCTCCCTCCTCCCTGGCCGGCAGGGAGGGAGGGAGAGGAGCTGCTTCCTTTGAAACCCGCGAAATTTAAGGGACATCATCAATAAGGGACAGCAGCGGGACACGGCGCTGGGATAAGGGACTTTCCCACCAAATAAGGGACGGTTGACAGCTATGATGGGTGGTCAGAGAAAAGAGAGAGAAGAAGCCAAAAAGTACCCAGGTGACGTCGTTGTTGACCACCACCAGCGCAAACTCGTGGCTCTTGTCGATTTTGTGCTTGGTCCGGACGAACATCTCTATCATCTTCTGGGAGATGTTCAGAGCGTTGGTTTTCGACCTTTCAGAGAGACAGGGAGAGAGAATATGCCCACATATGAATTGCGAGAGAAGGACAACTGTGACTTCAAAGAAGAATGGGAACTCTTTACAAATTACTTTAAAAAGACAACAAGATGAATTGGACTCCCTGGCAGGTTTTGAATAAACATACACAGATTTATTGATTGCTAACATAGCAGATGGATAATATAAGGATTTATACCATTTTATAGTATGCAGAGAATAATATGTGTTGAAAAATCAGAGAGAGGAGCTGAGGGAAGTCTTGGGGGGAGGGCTTATGGGGAGGTGGGGGGAAGGGGGAAATAATGAATATGAGATGTTTTGATATTTTGATATGTTAAAATTGAAAATAAAAAAAACTTTTTAAAAAAAGAACTTCCATCACAATGTGAAACAGAAACAATAATATTAATAATAATTTCTTATTTATATCCCGCCCATCCGGCTGGGTTTCCCCAGCCACTTTGGGCAACTCCCAACAGATTAAAAACAGAATAAAACATTAAAAAACAGGAAAAAACATTGTAGTTCCGCAACAGAAAAATGTCGGCCGACCAGAAGGGGAAAGGCCACTCACCCGTTGAACGACTCCAGTTTCGAGTGGGACATTTCCTCCGAGAGGTCAAGGCAGATGATCTGAGAGAGAGAGAGAGAATATCATATCACGGTCATGTTCCATAGAACAATAGAATTGTAGAGATGGAAGGGACCCTGAGGGTCATCCATCCCAACCCTGTGCAATGCCCAACGCGGGGCTCAAACCCACGACCCTGAGATCAAGAATCTCATGCTCTACCAACTGAGCTATCCCAAACTGTCCAACAAATCTCTAAAACCGCCTCTTCTAGGATGAGCTCATGGGACCAAGCTGGGGCTGTCCCGGAAAAGTCGAGGGCAGAATAAGTTACTCACCACTTTTTCCGGGCAGTTGACCCGTGGCGTCCTGACCTGGAACTCGGTGGGCGGGACTGTGGGGGGCCAGCCTTTCCCATTGGTGGCCGTGGCGCTCTGGGGGCTGTCCCCCGTGCTGGCCGCCTCCCCTTCCCCCTCGCTGCGGCTGCCCACGCTCGCCTGGGCGCTCAGGGTCCGGTCTTCGGCGCCCTCGGGGTTGGAGCGGGTCCTGGGGCGCTGCTCGGCCGTCACCTTCTCCTCCTCCTCCTCCGTCGCACTGCTGGGCTCCGAGGTGTCCATCAGGGCCCCACGGTCAAGAGGGGAGTCCAGGTTTGCTGTTCCGGAAGGCCTTCCTGGAAAGGGAAGAAAGCAACACGGTTTTGGGGGTGACAGTTCCATTGCGGGGGGCAACGGATCCAGAATAGGGGGAGTCCTTCCTGAAGAAACCAGAGGCCTTTCTCCTGGGCATGGTCGGCCAATTGGTGCCAAAGAAGGATAGAACTTTCTTTATGTATGCTACAACAGCAGTGAGAGTACTTATTGCAAAGTATTGGAAGACACAAGATTTACCTACCCTGGAAGAATGGCAGATGAAGGTGATGGACTATATGGAACTGGCGGAAATGACTGGCAGAATCTGAGACCAGGGAAAAGAGTCGGTGGAAGAAGATTGGAAGAAATTTAAAGACTATCTATAGAAATACTGCAAAATTAATGAATGTTAGAATGATGTTGGATTGAAGTTAAGTGGTTTTTAGCAGTAATGTTATAAAGGAATGTGCAAAAATGGATTGTTAAAAGGTGATAATCTAAAGTTATAATATATTACGATTAAAGATTAGGATAAAAACAAAGAGGGAAAGGATTTGCTGAACCAACTAATTGAACTGGAATACAAAAAAGGGAGCTGTGAGGAGGTCTGGGGAACAAGCAAATGAAAGACAAGATACGGAAAGATTGAATTGTTTTTAACTGTTTTTACTTTGTATTTTTTCTTTTTCTTTTTGTAACATTTTGAAAACTTTAATAAATATCTTTTTTTATAAAAAAAACAGAATAGGGGGAGTCCTGATCAGGAGCATATGGACATCGGGCCAAAGGGCCTCCTGTCCTCACAGTGGCCAAATGCCCCTAAGAAACTAGGAATCCAGATAGACTGCCACTGGACCTGGAGGTTCCATAAGGACACAAGAAAAGCCTGGCTGCTGCATCAAGCCAAAGCGGCCGTGTCTAATCCAGCCTCCTGTTTCACCATGGCCTCATAATAACAATATTTTAGGGCAGGTCACAACATAACATTACTATGTAAAAACCACAAAATATAAAATAAAAATAAGAACGGAAAGAAACAAACAATCCAACATTCTTGTTTTTATTATGTATTTTGTGTTTTTTACATGGTAATGTTATGCTGTGAACCGCCCTGAGACCTGTGGGTATATGGCCGGTATACAGATGCAATAAATCACAATAAATAGAAATAATAAGAATAATAAACAAACAAACAAATCTCCCTTCCCACAGTACATTTAAAAGGGCATCGGATGTCACGTCCTGAGTGCAAAAACTCTCTTGAATTAAAACTCCCAGAAATTGTTACTCAAGAGGTATGCGGCAGAGAATACACAGCAGTCAATTATCAGTTTAATAGCATGAAAAACACCCTTTCCCAAATTATCCTTACAATGTGTGATTTTCAGAACCGAAATGAGTTCAAGCTTTTCTACAGCGATAACATTTATGTTGTCCATCCCCATAGGTTTTCTTCAGTCAAAATAGTAAGATGTATCCGCAATATAAATTTGAGACAGTTTACATTTTGCTTAGGAATGTAAACAAGGTGATGTTGCTGGGCTGTCTGTTTGCAACTCAGTGTAACTTCTTGATTATGTACGAATTGTAAAAAGTAGAAGGAAAACCAACAGGCAAAAGAATTGTGGTGGATCTGGTAAAGTCCTTCTTGGAGCAATGCAAAATTAACTTATGCACACAGAGACTTGTGATCTCAATCACACACAGTCTGTAGTCCGCTGGCAGTAGGAGTACAATACGGGCATGTCTTTAAGTTAACATCTTACATTAAAAACCTGACAGTACCAAATTATCGAAGGCTTTTCACCAAAGCCAGACTAAACGTCTTTCCTTCTGCAGTGTTGAATGGCAGGTTGAGAGGAGTTCCCTACCAGGACAGACAGACTTTGCTCGTGTGCTCAAGATATTGATTCTATAAAACATATTTTGCTGCCCTGTGAGAAATATGAGCAAGCCAGGGCTAAACTGATATTACCCTTGCTGGTACCTTTCCCGAGAAAATCAGAGGCTCACTATGTCAGGCTCCTATTGGAAGACTGGACAAATGCTAGAGCATTAGCAGTGGCCAAGTTTTTATCGGTGGTTGCAAGAACCAATGATCCCTATATTCTGAACGAAATGCTTGTTTAACCTGGAGGTAGGCTGCATGTATTGCTTTGTAACGATTTGTTGGGTCTCTGGACCGTAATAGAGGTTGATGATGACTTATGGAACTCCCTGCTGCAGGACCATTTACGGCTTTAAAAGCAGATCAGATAAGTTCATGGAGCAAGAGATGGTCTACTCTTATGTACAGTATAGTTAACTTGCTTTATCTCTGATTCTACCATATATCATATCCATTTCTTCACTCAGTTGTCTGTTGCTCCTGGCAAGACCAAGCTCTGCAAGAACAGAGCTGCAGCGTTGAAAACAATGTCCCTTGCAAGAGCTAGGCTATCATGCTCCGATCCCAGCTTTTATCATTCAGCTAGCATGATAGCTTGGTACAGTTTGCAAAGCTAAGAGAGAGATTTGCAAAAATCATGACAACTTGACACACACACACACACACAAAAACTGAAATTGGTTGCACAACTCATAGGGTCACCATCTTTCTTATTTTCCTTTGCAACCAGAAGAATAAACTTATATGAAATATCTTTGCAGGGCTTGGCAGCTGCTCCCCATCCCCATAACAGCTGAGCTTTCCAAATACTGTACAAAAAGGAGGTTTTGTACCAAATATTATCCGCTTAACATCCTTTATCCTCCCATCCAAAGCAATTATATTGCATCCCATAAATGACCTCTCCCTTTTCCTGGAAAACCACCTACCTCGACCCCTTTTGTTCCAAACGCAAAGCAACCTGTAAAACCAGTGATCGCTCCCAGAAACAGACAAAACAACCCAGCTGCGAAATTAAGACTCCTTGCAAACCAGACCGGAAGTGTAGGGAAGGGAAGAACCATATGGATGCCCCTCTCCTCGCAATGGATGCTGGGATTTGTAGTTCTCACTTCCAAACGTCTTGCAAAAGAGAAGCTGTTTGTTGGAAGACGCAATTCTGCAATAGATTGGGGTTTTTGCTTGTTTCCTTTCCAGAAAGCTGGAATGCAACTTGGTTGAAGTAGATATAAAGAAGGCTGGCATAGAAAAGGATGTCGATGCAATCAGGAAATAAAGTAGAGAGGGTGGATAATGAACACAAGGACTACCAACAGTGGAAGATTGGCAGATGAAGATGATGGACTTTTCGGAGCTAGCTGACCTGACTGCAAGAATCCGAGACCAGAAAGAAGAGGAGTTTCAAAAGGACTGGAGGAAATTTAAGGACTATTTGAATAAATATTGTAATATAAAAAATCAGAAATTAATTGAAAGAAACAAGTAGGCCTAGGATAAAGTTATAATTAAATAAATGGGATTTAGAATATTAAGAAAAGTGAGTAAGATGGGCTATAATTGGAAATTGTTTTAGTTTTAAAATGATATTGGAAAGCTGTTACTTTTAACTACAAGGAAACTCAGAAGGGAGGGACTAGAGGAAGTCAACCAAGATGTTTAAAAGCTTGGATTTGTAAAGAATTAAGTTTGTTGTTATTGTTTATCTGTTTATTGCTCCTTTATTCTTCTTTCGTTCATGTATTTTTCTTTTTTCCTGTTTTTGTGTGTCATTCTGCTTTGTGGTTTTTGTTATAATTGTGGAAAATCTAATATTTTTTTTAAAAAAAGAGAGGGTGGATAATGCGCCCCTTAAACTGAATGAATAAATAAACGGTGGAAATGCAATGAAGGGGAAAGCAGTCAATGAATTTTAATAGAAGGAACGCAAAACAAATCAATGGATGGATGGATGGATGCAAATGCCGGAAATCTTGTCTGCGGACAAAAGTACCGAGTCCTCTATGTCTTTCTTAGGCTGAATGGGGGAAGCGGACAAATAGAGCCAACTACACCGTCAATCAAGTGACGTAAACCTCAACTCCAGACCAATCAACAGGGCGGGCGGGGAAAGGAAAAGGGGCAGAGGCCTGATGCCCCTTTCCAACCTATCCTCAGAGAGGATTCTCTTTTCCCCCGCCTACCAGTCCCTCCTCGTTCCTCTTTTTACTGGGCAGCCGGGCAGTCAGTCATTGCGACGGCCAGCCAATGAGAAGCCCAGGCAGGCCTTGAGAGGGAAGCTTCAAACTTTAAAAGCAAGATGGCGGCGGGGGCGGCGTTGCCGCTGCGACAGCGGCTGTGAGGGAGCCGCGGCGGGCGCGCGGCCCTCGGCCGGGGCTGCGCGGGCGGCTCTCCGGCCGCGTCTCGAGGCGACCCCGCCGGGCCGAGATTCCGCCGCCGGCCGCGCGGGGATGGAAGTAGCCGCTGCCTCCTGTGGGAAATCTGCGCATGTGCGGGAGGAGTGAGCATGCGCAGATGCGCCTCCTCGGCCCCTCGGCCGCCCTCTAGTGGCGGAATGGAACCAGGCGCCCTGCCGCTCTCGGTCCGGCTGCGCGAGGCTCTGTCGGGCGGAGAGTGCGAGTAAGCGCATGTGTGAACGCACCTGTTCACGTGTACACGTGAATTTCTCTAGCGGCTTCTCCCTCTTTTCTTCGCTTGTTCCTTTCTGGCTTTGCAAAAGCTTTCATATGTAAACAACTACCCCTGAAATAATAATAATTTCACTAATATTAATAATTAATAATAATTATTATTATGAATAACTATTAATAATAATAATACCAGTGCTTTTCTTCTAGAAAAAAGGGGCCGGTACTCGCCATGTAGTTACAGTAAGTGACACACTTTTAATCGGTGCTTTTCTTCCAGGGAAAAACGGTGCCAGAACCCTGGAGAACCCCTAGAAAAAAGCACTGATTATTACAAAACGTAAATCTCTCCAACTGGTTTTGGGGGCTTCTTGGCTTGCAGATCTTAATTCCTGGAATTTTATCTCTTAGTTGCTGTTTCCTTGCTTCCCAGGATGGTCGAAGCCCTTCTCCAGCAGGGAGCGGACCCCAACTTGGTTCTGCCTGAGGGGATTGCCGGCATCCACCTTGCGGCCGGCATGGAGCAGGAGAGTGGGATCCGGTGCCTTGCCCTCATCCTCCGGTACGGCGGAGACCCCAATATCAGGTATTCTGCAGTGTCCTTCTGCTACATCCATGGGGAAATGAGCTCTGAACCCACCAGTGGGCATCTAGTGTGAGCAAACATATTTGGCATCAGATTGCTTGTATACCCTGTAGCATTTCTCCGGTGAAAATAGGGACATCCTATTTAATAATAGGGACGCGGGTGGCGCTGTGGGTTAAAGGTCGGTGGTTCGAATCCCCATGACAGGGTGAGCTCCCATTGCTCGGTCCCTGCTGCTGCCAACCTAGCAGTTCGAAAGCACGTCAAAGTGCAAGTAGATCAATAGGTACCACTCCGGCGGGAAGGTAAACGGCGTTTCCGTGCGCTGTTCTGGTTCGCCAGAAGCGGCTTAGTCCTGCTGGCCACATGACCTGGAAGCTGTACGCAGGCTCCCTCGGCCAGTAAAGCGAGATGAGCGCCACAACCCCAGAGTCGGCCACGACTGGACCTAATGGTCAGGGGTCCCTTTACCTTTATTTAATAATAATAAATAAATAAATTTACTATTTATACCCCACCCATCTGACTGGGTTGCCCCAGGAATTCTGGGCAACTTCCAACATACAGTGAACGCTCGGGTTGCGAGCGTGATCCGTGCGGGAGGCACGTTCGCAACCCGCAGCGCCACTTCTGCACACACGTGGGTTGTGATTCAGTGCGTCTGCACCACGCGCAAAGCACGATTTAGCGCTTCTACACCTGCGTGAGCGCCGAAACCCGGAAGTAACCCATTCCGGTACTTCTGGGTTTCGGCGCGTCCGTATCCCAAAAACGCACAACATGAAGCATCTGTAACCCGAGGTATGACTGTACAGTGGTACCTTGGGTTACATACACTTCAGGTTACATACGCTTCATGTTACAGACTCCGCTAACTCAGAAATAGTGCTTCAGGTTAGAACTTTGCTTCAGGATGAGAACAGAAATCGTGCTCCGGTGGCACGGCAGCAGCAGGAGGCCCCATTAGCTAAAGTGGTGCTTCAGGTTAAGAACAGTTTCAGGTTAAGAACGGACCTCCAGAACGAATTAAGTACTTAACCCAAGGTACCACTGTCTATAATAAGTTAAAACTTTAAACATTACCAAAAAAAAATCCCTATACGTGGCTGCCTTCAGATGTCTTCTAAAGATTATATAGTTACTTTTTTCTTTGACATCTGATGGGAGTGCATTCCAGAGGGCAGGCGCCACCACCTGGTTCCCTATAACCTCACTTCTCACAGGGTGGAAACCGCCAGAAGACCCTCGGAGCTAGACCTCTGTGTCTGGGCTGGGCGATGGGGGTGGAGACCCTCCTTCAGGTATACTGGGCCAAGGCCATTTAGGGCATTAAAAGTCAACACCAACACTTTGAATGGTGCTCAGAAACGTACTGGGAGCTAGTGAAGATCCTTTAGGACCAGTGTTATATGGTCTCAGCGGCCGCTCCCAGTCACCAGTCTAGCTGCCGCATTCTGGATAAGTTGCAGTTTCTGGGTCACCTTCAAAGGTAGCCCCACAGAGAGCGAATAGCAGTAGTCCAAGTGGGAGATAACCAGAGCATGCACCACTCTGGCCAGACAATGCGCAGGCAGGGAGGGTCTCAGCCAGTGTACCAGATGGAGCTGGTAGACAGCCGCCCTGGACACAGAATTGACCTGCACATCCAGTGGTCTATAATAACAATGACAATAATAATTTATTATTTATACTTTCCCATCTGGCTGGGTTTCCCCGGCCACTCTGGGCGGCTTCCAACACAATATTAAAATACAGTAATGCATCAAACATTAAAAGCTTCCCTAAACAGGGCTGCCTTCAGATGTCATCTAAAAGTCTGATAGTTGTTCTTCTCTTTGACATCTAATGGGAGGGCGTTCCACAGGGCGGGCGCCACCACCAAGAAGGCCCTCTGCCTGGTTCCCTGTAACTTGGCTTCTCACAGTGAGGGAACTGCCAGAAGGCCCTCGGAGCTGGACCTCAGTGTCCGGGCAGAACGATGGGGGTGAAGATGCTCCTTCTGGTATGCTGGACAGAGGCCGTTTAGGTCTGACCTCAAGATAATAAAATTTTAACGTCAAGAACCATGCAGATCCAGAGACCTGCTTTACTTTAAAGGGAAAGATCGTAGTTCAGTGATAGAGCATGCACACCTTGCATGAATCTGGGGGTGGGGGGTGGGAAGGAGAGCTGCTGCCAGTACTAAGCTGGGTGCTTGGCTGCCCGTTGTTCGCGACAAGAGGCCAGTGCAATAAATCGGGACTCTTGACGCCCTTCAGGCCTTGGGCCCCTAACGTTGCGCAAGGTGCAAGCCCAGGTTTTTCTTGTGATTCAGGTCCGTGGACGGTCTCACCCCCTTGCATGTGGCAGCCGCCTGGGGGTGCTACATGTGCCTAAATCTCTTGCTGATGGAAGGAGGAGACCCCCACCTGAAAGACCAGGTAGGCCAGAGAGTTCTTGCCATTGTGGGGGACGGGGCGGGGGGGGGGGAGACAGGGTTGCAGGGACTTCCTGCTGCTGTTGAGCTGAGACACTGCTGGCTGGTTTCTGGTTGGGCTCTGTGGTAAATGGGATGCTGTCTGGGCCCCCTTTGACCCGATCCAGCAGCCGTGCTCTTTTTAAGTTCTTCCAGTCATAGGCTAGGACCCTTGTACCTACGGGACCACCTCTCCACCCCGCGGAGGATCTTAAGGTCCACAAATGACAACACCTTGGAGGTCCCAAGTCGCAAGGTGGTTAGACTGGTCTCAACTAGGGCCAGGGCCTTTTCAGTATTGGCCCCGACTTGGTGGAACGCTCTGTCAGAAGAGCCTAGGGCCCTGTGGGACTTGACATCTTTCCGCAGGGCCTGCAAGACAGAGCTGTTCCGCCTGGCCTTTGGTTTGGACTCAGTCTGACCCGTAGGCTTCCCTCCCCTTATGGTTTTAACTTTTAAAATGAGGCTGCATTTTAAACCTGTATTTTAATTTGTTTGTTGTTGTTTTCTTATTATGTTTTTACTGAAATTTAATTGATGTTAGCCGCCCTGAGCCCGGCTCTGGCCGGGGAGGGCGGCGTATAAATAAAATTATTTATTATTATTATTATTATTATTATTATTATTATTATTATTATTACAAAGATAGTTAGAGTAGACCCACTGACGTCATGAGAAACCATTCCAGGGAGAACCAGAGCACTGGCGGTTGACGAGTTGAAGCTGCGAAATTCTTTCTTGGTTACCTGTCCCATGTTAATTGGAATAAGGAAGGGCAAGGAAGGGAACTTGGATGGAGAGAACTAGCAAGCCAGATTAGCTCAGGGGGGGGGGACGCCCTGCTCCTTGGTCCTCTAGCCTCTTCTTCCTCCCAGGACGGGAACACTGCCATCGACCTGGCTTTGGAGGAAGGGAACGAGATGTGCCTCCGTATCTTGCAAGGGTTCCTGGACGAGGCTGCAGAGGGGCAGCACCACTGGAGGAGTAAGTAGGGAGAAGCAATCAAGCTCCCCGCCCCCCCCATGCAATGCTATCTTGGCATCCTATCCCCCGACTTTAAACTTTACATTCTCATTTGTTTGCTATACCGTAACTGCGGCCGAAACAGAGCTTAGCAAAAAAATTCGGAAGTGTGAGCATGAGAAAACATGAACCTGTTTAAAATATTTAGTACAGGCTTCCTCAGCCTTGGCCCTCCAGATGTTTTGAGGCTACAATTCCCATCATCCCTGACCACTGGTCCTGCTAGCTAGGGATCATGGGAGCTGTAAGCCAAAAACATCTGGAGGGCCGAGTTTGAGGAAGCCTGATTTAGTAGTTTTTAAGATGAAAACGCAGGTGGCGCTGTGGGTTAAACCACAGAGCCTCTTGGGCTTGCCAATCAGGAGGTCGGCGGTTCGAATCCCCGCGACGGGGTGAGCTCCCGTTGCTCAGTCCCTGCTCCTGCCAACCTAGCAGTTCGAAAGCACGTCAAAGTGCAAGTAGATAAATAGGTACCGCTCTGGCGGGAAGGAAAACGGCATTTCCGTGCACTGCTCTGGTTCACCAGAAGCGGCTTAGTCCTGCTGGCCACATGACCTGGAAGCTGTACGCCGGCTCCCTCAGCCAATAAAGCGAGATGAGCGCCGCAACTCCAGAATCGGCCACTACTGGACTTAATAGTCAGGGGTACCTTTACCTTTAAGTTACCTTTACCTTTAAGATAAAAATGAGAGCATCATCTTACGAGATCTTTGAGCATAGGAGAGGAAGTTGACCAACAACTCTGTTGTTATTAACTTGTTTGTATCGGCCAGTAAATATCCCAGGCGTCCAGTGTCTTATCGTTGGCACTCCTGCTGAGGCCTCACAACCCCAGCCTCACTCACTACCATTCAGACGATCTACAGCGACACCGGTATCAAGAAGGTGACCCCTGTCAGGAGCTCAGCCTACACTCGAGTAGGACCCTGGCAGAGACACATGCCAGACTGGCATGTTCCCTCCCTCCTGGTCGATTGTTCGGGAGCTTCAAAAGCTTTCTTCTGCCCAAACATCACAGCGACTGATGCCAACCGACACCGGCACACTTAGAGATCCGCAGAGTTTGCACAGTTGCGTAACAGACCTCAGCAACTCAGCATTTTGGCTAATCTACTTTATTTACATATAAACACACACGGAGCACTGCAGCATGACTCCCTCTCACTCTAGGATCAGACAGCAAAGAGAGAGAAAACAAAGGACAATAGACCCACTTCACGGAACACAGTAACACAGACATCCTGTCTCCGTCACTTCCCACTCCGTGGAGTCAAAACATATACCGTCATGTGAAAGACAAAAATCCCATGACTGCAATCATGGAGCAGCAATTCTAACAACCCCACCCCACCGGCCCTTCTGATTATTACCAATCTGAATAGTTTTTTAAAAACCCCACAGCCTGTAATATTCTGCCTATTTATACACTTACTTTATCTTTGATCTATGGAGCGGATATTTTACGTTTTGTAGTTTTTGACACTTGCATCAAATAAGAAAAGAGATTCCGACTAAACATTAGGAAGGTCTGGCCGTAAGAGTTGTCCGGCAATGGAACAGACTCCCTTGGGAAGCAGTGGACTTTCCTTTGCTGTAGGTTTAAAAACAGAGATTGGATGCCCATCGGTCAGGGATTCTTTAGCTGTAATGCCTACATTGCATGTAGTTGGGACAGATGATCCTTAGGGGCCCCTTCCAACCTAATATTCAAAAAAATGGAGGGACGCAGGTGGTGCTGTGGTCTAAACCACTGAGCCTCTTGGGCTTGCCGATCAGAAGGTCGGCAGTTCAAATCCCCGCGATGGGGTGAGCTCCTGTTGCTCTGTCCCTGCTCCTGCCAACCTAGCAGTTCGAAAGCACGTCAAAGTGCAAGTAGATAAATAGGTACCACTCTGGCGGGAAGGTAAACAGCGTTTCTGTGCACTCTGGCTTCCATCACGGTGTCCCGTTGCGCCAGAAGCGGTTTAGTCCTGCTGGCCACATGACCCAGAAAGCTGTCTGCGGACAAATGTCGACCTGAAAGTGAGATGAGTGCCGCAACCCCATAGTCGCCTTTGACTGGACTTAACTGTCCAGGGGCCCTTCACCTTTTACAGTTCTTTTCTGCGATTTTCAAAAATGCTTGAGATGTGTAGCAGGATGCCAGCAACTCCTGTTTCCCTAATTTCAGAGGCTCAAATTAAATAATCCTAGCCTCATTTGTCCCTCTCTTTCTTTTTTATACAGGCTACCGAAGAGAAGAAAGCTTCCTCACCACCGTGACTGAAGACACCTTGAACCCTGGGCGGTCCTTGAGGCTTTATGACGCTTGCCCCATCCTCTCTGGCGGAAGCTTGCGGCCTCCTCCGGATGAGAGCCTTCAGCATGCGAAGCCACCCACCTTCCTTTCTCGTCCTCCGAAGAGCCAAGATAAAACTTCTTCCTTTGAGGACAGGATCGCTTCTTCGTTCCTAACGGAGTGTTCTTTGGCTTCCAGCACTTTGTCCGATCAGGGAGACCTCTGTGCTCAGCCGGCAGCCTCATCCGGCTTGGGCGGCGTGCTTGGGCAGCCAGCCCCCAGTCCCTTGGCAACACGGGGTTTTCACATCGGAGGACCTGAGCCCCTCAAACCAGATCTTGGCACAACCCAAACTCATTGCGTCCAGAGCACTACAGCTAAGGGGTCCCCTTTGCCTCCAGACAGCGCATTTCCCCCTCCACTTTAATCGACCGCAAGCTGAGAGCGAGCCTTGAAATACAAAACGCTAACAGATCCCGGGAGATCCCCAGGCCCTCTCCCACCCATGCAGTTGTGTCCGAATGTGAAGCAGATCCCATTGCCAGCATGCAGGATCCCAACCTCACCTTCAACCTCTCCCAGTATGGCAGCTTCCTAGACCCAGACCTTGTGGTGAGAGCCATGGGCCACGAAGGGCTGGACGTCACCTCGCCCGATCACGCCTACCTGTTCACCCGGGAGAACGCTACAGCCATCTCGGACCTGGAAAAGACGGTCGTGGTCAATGCGGAGTTACTGCCGAGCGGCTGTGGGAATCTGGGCAGAGGCGCCGAACGAGCTGAATCGTTTAGTGAAAGCTCAAGCAGTGGCCAGTATGCCTCGTGCGACAGCGAATGTTACGCAAGCACTACGGAAGCGCTCCGCTGCAGCGAGGCTCAGAACCAGGAGGGAAGGGAGGCCAGCTTCAGCTGTTCCACGTTCAGCTCCCACAACACTGAGAGCAACAGTTTAATGTCAGAATTGTCTGCCAGAGGACCGGTAAGCAGCTCCGGAGAGCCGCTTGAGGCATTTAGCGAGAGGAATTCTCCTGCTAGGTCTGACCGCCTGAGACATTTGTGTGACAGAATTGGTTGCAAGGGGGCTTATTCCAACACATGCGCTGGAAGGCAGCCTTTGGACCTGGTCTGCTTTGGAAAGGACAAACGGCCCAAGAATGGCGGGCAGCCGGGTTTTCCCAAACGTCCCAGGTTCTTGCAAAATGCCCTTTGCAGAAGTGGGGAAACCAAGGCACGGACTCTCCACCATTGAGGGAAACGCAGAAGCCAAGGATTTCTGGAGCAGAGAACGAGCACCTTTCGGAAATTTCCTCTCCCATCGTTGGGAGAGTTGATACCTGGGAACAGCAAGGCAAACTAAAAGGGAATGGGTCATCTGAAGCTCAGGAACGGTTGAGTACAGAGGAAAGGAGAGGATTTCACTCCACGAGCAGCAAGGATGTGGAGGGGCACTTGTGGACTCCAGAAACGGTGCTCATACAGAAGGCATCTGAAGAGACGTCTTCCCCGGGGAATGAGAGCCCTGTCCCTTCCGGGATGGTCTGGGATGCGGCTGAAACAATAGCCGTCCCTCATCAAACTCCTCCAAGCATCAAAGAAGAGCCGGCCGGCTTGGAGGCCAAGCTGAGGTCAATGATGCTGGCGACCAGGGTCTGCCATTCACCGCTGCTCCAGCCCCACCAAAGCCCCGGCACGTTACACCCCGAAGCAAAAGCCGCATGATGGCGTCGGCCACGCACAATGCCAGCTCTTCCTCCTCCCTCTTCGACGAGACCCTGGAGGTGCCACAGCGTCCCAGGCGGATGAGAAACCCCAGAGGGCAGGTTCCGGCCTCCGGCGAGAGGCAGGATCGATCCGCTGGCCCAACAAACAGCAGCCTGCATGGTGCGGCGGGAGGCAAGAATGGTGAACTCGATGACACCTTATTAATAGGGGCTGGTCTCAGCAGCTGTGAGCCAGGCAGCTGCTCAGGGTCCCTCCCTTCGGGCGGCCCTCTCATCAGCCCGGATACACCAGGAAGTTCTGGGAGAGATGTTTGCAGAGGGTATGACCGTTCTGACACCAAATGTGGCAGCGACCGTGTGACAGATTCAGGGGAAGAGCTTCCCTTGAAGGAGGAGAAGCTGCCACCAGGGAATGGTGCCCAAGAAAGCCTGGATGCTGTGCTGCCTCGGGGTGAACCTGAGCGCCTAAGTGCCAGGCGTGGTAGGACCAAGAGGCAGGCCAATCGCTCGCGAGTGAGCTTCAGCCGGCTGCCTGCACCGAGAGTGTCCACCTGCCCGTCCGGACGGATGAGTCCCATTGCCCAAGATGTCCAGCTGTCGCCCGGTGGCCGGCCCGTGAACCTGAGCGCCACTGAGCCCGTGGAATACCTTTACGAGGATGAAGGGCACGCCCTCGTGGAGCGCCACATCCCTTGCACGGACGACTCCGTGGCCAACACCACCAGCTCCGAAGACACCGTCATCTACGACTGGCGGGCATACACCGGTCAAGTGGCCGGGCCGGCAGATGTGGGCGGCAGCTCTCCGCCAGCCGCTTCTGAGCTGAGCCACCTCTCAGACGAAGCACTAGTCCGGCAGCTTCGAGACTTCGGTGTCAACCCGGGTCCTGTAACGGGACTCACCAGGAAAATTTACCTGCAGCTACTTGAGAAGCTGATGAGTGACCCGAAGACCAAGGCCCGGAAGGGGTCTGCAGGTGGGTCGCTGCCTTGCCTGGGGGTAGGGGAGGGCCTCAGCCCATTGATGGAGGCCTTCTTTGCATGCAGAAGGTCCCGGGTTCAACCCCTCCGGGGCATAGCTATCAACTTTTCCCTTTTTTTAAGGGAAATTTCCTTATTCCGAATAGGATTCCTTGCCAGAAAAGGGGAAAGCTGACAGCTGTGCTCCAGGGTCATCTCCAGAAATGGCATCCCATGTGCTTCTTTGCCTTTAACTGACATGCCTTTAAAGTAGTGGAGGGAGGTTTACATATGGTTTACACATCTCCTTTGCTGATTCTAATTTGTAGGCTAAGGGGCTGAGAGCTCCTGTTAAAAATAATAATATTAATACACGAATCCCCATCACCACACACACTTACACCTGTTCTGATCTAGGGCTGGGCGATATCTGGTTTTCAACATCGCAATATATCACCAGCTAAACATCGTGAAATGTTGATACAGTGGTACCTTTGGTTGCGAACAGGATCCATTCCGGAGTCCCATTCGCAACATGAGCAGAACGCAACCTGCGTCTGTGCGGGTCACGATTCGCTGTTTCTGTGCATGCACGTGACGCCATTTTGAGCATCTGCGCATGCGTGAGCAGCGAAACCCAGAAGTAACCCTTTCTGGTACTTCCGGATCGCCGCAGGACACAACCTGAAAAGATTTGACCCGAAGCGTCTTTAACCCGAGGTATGACTGTATATCACAACATCTGACATAAGAATGGAGCTATGTAGAGGCACGGGCTGGCTTCACAGTTTTTCCCACATTGTGATTTTTGCATAACAGCCACACACACACGATTCGCGATATATTGCCAGTTCCAAAATTATGAAACCGATATCATAATTGGGCTTCAAACCAGTTTAGGACGATATAGCAATCTATCGCTCAGCCCCATTCTGCTCATGCACGATTTAACAAAGTCTCTCCACTGTGATCGTATATTGAGATAATAGTCTTTCCTTGTTACATGTCGTGTGCGCCTCTCCACCATGTGTTAACAAACTTCTCTGTTTTGGTGGCGGTGGGGTTGTCTGTTCTTCACTCGCCTCCAGGCTACAGCCCGGAATTGTCTTCTGCCCTGGACACTTACCAGATCCCAGATGGCCAGGAGGACGAGATGGCTTTGTCCAGGCCGTTCGACCAGCCGGACAAGAGCCGCAAGTGGAGGGAGGGCCTTCTCAAGTCCAGCTTCAACTACCTGCTCCTGGATCCCAGGTGTGGAAGCTTTTCCCCGATTCTGCCGTCTCAGCTGCCCCTGGGGGGGGGGGAGGAGGCAATTCCTACCTTTTCAGACTCAGCTGAGCTTTGGGCGAAAACTGAGGGTGTAGTTTGACAGCGTGCAGTCTTCTCCACGGAACAGAACCCTCAGGGTGTTGTCAGGCCTCTCTGGCCATGCGAGGAAAGGGCTTGGAGACCCTCTCTCCTTGCCTCTGCTCCACGGCCTCACAGCCCCATCTGATCACCAGTTCAAACGGTGAAGAGCTTGTCAGCTGGTAGAGCACAAGTCTCTTCACCTCAGGGTTGTGGGTTTGAGCATTGCAGGGGTTGGACTAGATCGGGGTTTCCCAAACTTGGGTCCCCAGCTGTTTCCGCACTACAACTCCCATCATCCCTAGCTAGCAGGACCAGTGGCCAGCGATGATGGGAATTGTAGTAATAATAATAATAATAAATTTTTATTTATACCCCGTCCTTCCCAGTTCAAAAACCGGGCTCAGGGCGGCTAACAACAAATTTAAAACACTTAATTATAAAAGCAGCATAAAATACGGTATAAAAACATGAATAACAATAAAAATCAAAAATCAGTTAGATAATCCCCAGGGCTAGCTGGCTGAATTGGTCCTACTTGGGCCAGCGAGGAGCCCAGGGGAGAATTAGCTGTGGGGTCTCAGAGCGGGTGATCTTCATAACATGGGAGGGAAGAGGAGGGAAATAAAAGATCAGGCTGAATTCAAATTAAAGGCCAGGCGGAATAGCTCTGTCTTACAGGCCCGACGGAAGGAGGTTAAATCCTGAAGGGCCCTAGTCTCAGGGTCAGAAAACAGCTGGGGACCCAAGTTTGGGAAACGCTGGGCTTAGGTGGCCCTCATGGTCCCTTCTAGCTCTCCGGCTCTATGATTCTGTGACCCAGGGGTGGGAAAGCTCAAGCCCAGGCGTCCAAGGGCCAAATACTCGCCAGGCCACACAGAATATCCTTGCCAGTCCTGCTTTGCACACACACACACACACACACACACACACACACACCCCAGGTGTCTTGGCCTGGCTGGGATGCACCCTTGGAACTCCACGCCACTAGGTTACCTGGATGGAAGTACCATTTTCATCCATTTCTCCACCTGCCTCTGTCCCTGCACGTCGCCTCTGGAAGAGAGCGCAGCCCTCGAGCTGAGGGAAAGAGTTCCTGATCTAGGGGGTTGCATTTTGTGAGTGCATGTGTCTCACACAGACCATATTGTGCCTCCTAGCATCCCCCTAAGAACCTAAGAAGAGCCTGCTGCTGGATCCGGCCAGTGCTCCACCTAGTCCAGCATCCTGTTCCCGACCAGATGCCTCCAAGGGAACGCGACAGGCAGGGCACGGTCGCAAGGGCCGTCACCCCTCCTGCCGTTTCCAGGAGCTGGTGCTCAGAAGCACGGCCACCTTCGACCGTGGAAGCAGAGCTTGGCCATCATGGCTGGCAGCCGTTGTCGGCCTCCCTGCTCCTCCACAAATTTGTCCAGTCACCTCTTCAAGCCCTCTGGGTTATATATAATAATAATAATTTATTATTTATACCCCGCCCATCTGGCTGAGTTTCCCCAGCCACTCTGGGCGGCTCCCAATTGAGTGTTAAAAACAACACAGCATTAAATATTTAAAACTTCCCTGAACAGGGCTGCTTTCAGATTTCTTTTAAAGATAAGATAGCTGCTTATTTCCTTCACATCTGAAGGGAGGGCGTTCCACAGGGCAGGTGCCACTGCCAAGAAGGCCCTCTGTCTGGTTCCCTGTAACTTGGCTTCTCGCAATGAGGGAACCGCCAGAAGGCTCTTGGTGCTGGACCTCAGCATCCGGGCAGAACGATGGGGGTGGAGACGCTCCTTCAGGTATACTGGACCGAGGCCATTTAGGGCTTTAAAGGTCAGCACCAACACTTTGAATTGTGCTTGGAAACGTACTGGGAGCCAATGCAGATCTCTCGGGACTGGTGGTCCCAGTGGCCACTCCCAGTCCCCAGTCTAGCTGCCACATTTTGGATTAGTTGTAGTTTCCAGATCACCCTCAAAGGTAGCCCCACGCAGAGCGCATTGCAGTAGTCCAAGCGGGAGATAACTAGAGCATGCACCACTGGCAAGACAGTCCGCGGGCAGGTAGGGTCTCAGTCTGCGTCGCAGGTGGAGCTGGTAGACAGCCGGTTGCTGGCCCATCGCTGCCTCCCGTGGCGGCGAGTTCCGCTGGTTAACTCTGCCCTTCTGCCTGTGCCTGACAGGGTGACCCAGAACCTGCCCTTCCGCAGCCAGTACATCAGCCGGGCCGAGTGTTTCCGGACATTCATCAGCGCCATCTTCTACGTGGGCAAGGGGAAGCGCTCCCGGCCGTACTGCCACCTCTACGAAGCCTTGACGCACTACCAGCAGAGCCGGAGGAAGCAAGGCCGACAGGTGCAGGCAGAGCAAAGCCCAGGGTGGTGCCCCACTCTCCCCTCTGGCCCTCCCCTGCTTGGAGGCAAATGCCACAGGGTGGGGGGTCAGGCCAGAGAGATGCACCCGCCAGTCAACTCCCGGACAGAGTGCAGGGGTGCCAGCTTGAATAAAATACTGGGGGAGGGGGACGCATTGGCCCGCTCCCTGCTGGAAGGGGGGAGGCCGGAGCCAAGCGAGCGCTTGGCTTTTATGCTTACCTGGGAAGAAGACCTACTGAGCCTAAAAGACTTATTTAAGCTGATAAATAACGCCAGTAGATAAATAGGTACCGCTCTGGTGGGAAGGTAAACGGCGTTTCCGTGCGCTGCTCTGGTTCGCCAGAAGCGGCTTAGTCATGCTGGACACATGACCCGGAAGCTGTACGCCAGCTCCCTCAGCCAATAAACCTTTACCTTTACAACGTTTATAAGGACTAGTAATGTACAGTGGTGCCTCACAAGACGAAATTAATTCGTTCCGCGAGTTTTGTCATCTTGCGATTTTTTTCCTCTTGCGAAGCACGGTGTCGGGAAAGTTTTGGAAAAGCTTCAAAAATCACCAAAGTCTTTAAAAACCTCAAAAAAGGCTACCACACCGCATTCTATGAGTTGCTTCTCGAAGTCAAGTCGCAACTGTATTAACGGTGTTAAGAAAAAGGAAACAAACTTGCAAGATGATACCGTCTTGCGAAGCAAGCCCATAGGGAAAATCGTCTTGCGAAGCAGCTCAAAAAACCCTTTTGTCTAGCAAGTTTTTTGTCTTGCGAGGCATTCGTCTTGCGAGGTACCACTGTAACAATATCACTATGCCCAGAAGTTATGTGTTTATAGTTTTCGCTAACTATCAATACAGTTCTAGTTACGGGTAGGTAGCCATGTTGGCCTGCCATAGTCGAAATAAATAATAAAAAAATCCTTCCAGTAGCACCTTAAAGGTAAAGGGACCCCTGACCATTTGTTCCAGTCGTGGCCGGCTGACTCTGGGGTTGCGGCGCTCATCCCGCCTTATTGGCTGAGGGAGCCGGTATACAGCTTCCGGGTCATGTGGCCAGCAGGACTAAGCCGTTTCTGGCAAACCAGAGCAGCGCACGGAAACGGCGCTTACCTTCCTGCCGGAGTGGTACCTATTTATCTACTTGCACTTTTTGGTGTGCTTTCGAACTGCTAGGTTGGCAGGAGCAAGGACCGAGCAACAGGAGCTCACCCCGTCGCGGGGATTCAAACCGCCAACCTTCTGATCGGCAAGTCCTTGGCTCTGTGGTTTAACCCACAGTGCCACCCGCGTCCCATAGTAGCACGTTAGAGACCAAATAAGTTTGTCATTGGTATGAGCTTTCGTGTGCAGGCACACTTCTTCTATCAAGACAGTCTTGCCCAATTTGCTACTTGTGATGTTTCTCACAAAAGGTTTGGCTGAATTGTGCATCGTGCTGGTAAATAAACAACCTGTTTCATATTAGCTGGTTCCAAGGTGAGCCTCACCACCTCATCCTCCGGTCTGACAACCGCTTCCGAGGCCCGGGCGAAGGAGGCGATGGTGCCCAAGCTGAGGCCAGGAGCTGGGGGGCGACAGCAGACCCAGCCCAGGCACCCTCTCCCTAACGTGCAGTGGCACCCAAGTCCCCTCTATGGCTCAAGGGGAGCCAGGCCTAGGCAGGTGGATGGGCGGTTGGGTGCCTTACCTGCACTCTCATGGAAGAGGAGGCTGGGGCAGCTCGACCCAGTCCATTTTACCCCCCCACCCCCATTTGGGAGGACTAAAGGGGTCCAAGACCCTTTGGCACCTATGAAACCGTGTTGGGCTGCCATCTTCCTGCCTTGGCAGCTGTTTTTTCAGAAGCATCTGGATGAGTCAGGCCCCTTTTGGCAGAGGGAGGCATCCTGTCTTGAAACAGGCCTGAAAGCAAAGACTTGTTTTCTGCCGCTAACCTGCTCCCTTCCTTTCCTCCAGGCCTGCTCCAAAGTCCAGCATATCCTGGAAATCTGGGCCAGCGGGCAGGGGGTCATCTCTATGCATTGCTTCCAGAACGTCATTCCGGTGGAAGCCTACACGAGAGAAGCCTGCATGGTGGATGCCATTGGTAAGGCGCGTGGCAGCTACGGCTGAAGGGCGGGCTCCGTCCCAGGATAGCTCAGTCGGTAGAGCAGGAGCCTCTTAATTTCAGGGTCGTGGGTTTGATCCCCACACTGGGGGTGTGCCCTTTTAAAATGTGTCAGGGAAGGGAGGATTACTGTGTTATTGTTGTTGTTATAATAACACTTTGGAGGTCCCAGGTCACAAGGTGGTTAGATTGGTCTCAACTAGGGTCATGCTGGCCACATGACCCGGAAACTGGCTCCCTCGGCCAATAAAGCGAGATGAGCGCCGCAACCCCAGAGTTGTCCACGGCTGGACCTAATGGTCAGGGGTCCCTTTACCTTTATGGCCAGGGCCTTTTCAGTACTGGCCCCAACTTGGTGGAACGCTCTGTCCCAAGAGACTAGGGCCCTGTGGGACTTGACATCTTTCCGCAGGGCCTGCAAGACAGAGCTGTTCTGCCTGGCCTTTGGTTTGGACTCAGTCTGACCCTTATGTTTCCCTCCCCTTATGGTCTTGATTTATCGGCTACTTTAAAATGAGGCTGCATTTTAAATTGCATTTTAACCTGTATTTTAAATTGGGTCCCCCCCCCCTATTATATTTTTAGTGTGATTTTACTGGCGTTAGCCACCCTGAGCCCGGTTCTGGCCGGGGAGGGCGGGGTATAAATAAAATTATTATTATTATTATTATTATTATCATCATCATCATCATTATTTATTGTTGTTTTTATTTTGATTATGTATTTTGTATTTTATGTTGTGATTTTGCATCTTGTGAACCACCCTGAGACCTGTGGGTATAGGGTGGTTTAATTACTAAATAAATAAATGAGATGATAGCTCATAGCTCCATAGGGTCAAGCAGCACTTCCTGGAAGTGGCCATCCGAATAGGACTGGGACCACCGCATTGCTACGCGCCCCCCCCCCAGTCCTAATTCAGACATCCGCTCCAGGGAGGGGGGGGGAGATACCGTGGTCAGTGGTATCGAAAGCCACTGGGAGATCTAGGGAAATCAACCGGCTCACGCTCCCCCTGTGTCTTCTTCCAGGGCTGAAGATGCTGACCAATCAGAAGAAAGGGAATTACTACGGCATTGTGGCAGGCTGGCCTATGAGGCGGAGGCGCTGCCTGGGTACCCACCTCCTTCACAGAGCCATGCAGATCTTCCTGGCAGAGGGGGAGCGGCAGCTGCGCCCCGCGGACATCCGCACAGGCCAGTGACAGCTGCCTGGCTCGCGAGGCGTGGCCAGCACCCCACCACATGCACCAGACACAATGCCCATGGCCTGGTCAAGGCGGTCGTCACATTATGCCCCAGGTCTTGGGCTAGGACAGGCTTCCTCAACCTCAGCCCTCCAGATGTTTTTGGCCTACAACTCCCATGATCCCTAGCTAGCAGGACCAGTGGTCAGGGATGATGGGAATTGTAGTCTCAAAACATCTGGAGGGCCGAGGTTGAGGAAACCTGGGCTAGGACTTGCCTTGTTGGCTCCCCGCCCCCCTCCGGCTCGGCTAGGAGTTGGGAGTTCGTGGGGAATGCGGAACTCCCTGCCACTGGATTCCCCAATGTCTCAACAGGAGAGAAGGATCAGTGTTGGACAAGCTTGAATTCGCTCTTGACGCACATTGACAGAACTGAATGTTCACCTCTCTCTTTAAACAGAGTCTCCTGTGCCCTTCTCAGAAACACGTATATATGTAGCCGTCAGACATGTGCTTTTACTGTTTTTAATTCTGTAATTTATGCTTTTATACTTTTTTTTATATGTAGCTTTCTCATTCGGTCCTCCTCTTCCTTCGGATGATGTAGAGTTGGTGAAAAATTAAATGTTTTTCTAGGATTGGGCAGAAACGCGTGGCCTCCTGTCCTCTTTCCTCACCCCCACCCCACTCCTCCTGCCCCTGGTGGCTTCCGGCCTCTGCTCTCGCAGCTCTTTTCAGAAGGGAGGAGGAGACCTAAGAGCTGAAACGGGCCACTGTGAGGACATCCATTCCACCCTGGCACACACACACCCCTGCTTTAACGCAGGACTTGCAGTTTATAGCTGCCCATCTTTTGCTGAAGCAACTCCAACCATCACCTCTGAGCACGCAGACCTCAAAACAGCATCAGGACTATGGAAAGCCTGGTCCCAAAAGGAGTTGGCTTCATAACAATTTTTTAAGATGATTTTTTTTTTTTAAGTTCAGGAATAACCTTGAGGCATGGGTGGGCTCTTCCTTCCTTGATTTCTCTAAGCTGCACAGCCATCTGCAGGGGCTGCCCTAGATTTCCTTCCTCCAGTGGCGGGGTGGACTAGTTGACCCTCAGGAGTCCCTTTGCCAACTATGGTTTCCTCCTCCTTTCACTTGGAAGGGGCAAATTTCTAGTCTTGTGATGGCCTGGGATTCGGACTCGGATGTTGAACCTGAGGAATACCAGCCTGCACAGGATTCCCCGCCTCCAGAACCAGCTGAGCCGGGGCTGGGTCCTGAGCCTGAAGGGTCCTCACCTGAGCTGGGTCCTCAGACGCAGGCATCAGCTGAGTCTGCTCTGGCCCCTGAGGGGATGGAGGACCCATTGCCTGCAGGTGCTCCACTCTCAGCCCCGTCAGAGGAAGCTGGGGTTGCCTCTGGGTCCGGTAACCCTACAGCCTCTCCTGAGCTGCAGAGGCTCAGGGCAGAGAGGCGGAGGGAACTAAGTTCCCGCAGGAGGAGGGCTCGCCTCCAGGCCAGGAGAGGCGAGTCACCTGAGGATCGGGGCTGCCCTATGCCTCGGGGCAGATAAAAGCCAGCCGGCCCCAGTCCCAGGTTGCGGGAGCAACATTGTTGGTTGTCGGCTCCAGCCTGATCCCTGACCTGCTTCCTTGCCGGAGCTCCTGACCTCACCCGACGCCCTGCCCTGCACCCAGCTTCAACTTCTATGGACTGCCTTCCTATTGCACCATCAACCTTGGACTGGACTCGGACCTCGCCTCTCGGTTAGCCCATGGGACCAGCACAAGTCTGCTTTGTGGTGAAGGCTGAAGATCATAGAATCATAGAGTTGGAAGAGACCCCAAGGGCCATCGAGTCCAACCCCCTGCCAAGCAGGAAACACCATCAGAGCACTCCTGACATATGGTTGTCAAGCCTCTGCTTAAAGACCTCCAAAGAAGGAGACTCCACCACACTCCTTGGCAGCAAATTCCACTGTCGAACAGCTCTTACTGTCAGGAAGTTCTTCCTAATGTTTAGGTGGAATCTTCTTTCTTGTAGTTTGGATCCATTGCTCCGTGTCCGCTTCTCTGGAGCAGCAGAAAACAACCTTTCTCCCTCCTCTATGTGACATCCTTTTATATATTTGAACATGGCTATCATATCACCCCTGTCAGAAACGCTCAAGCGAACCTCCATTGCAGGGTCGTTATGAGGATGAGACGGGCGACGGGAGAAACCTGAACTCGGAACCAGCCTCTTAACTGCCTGAAAGGAGACACAAGAGGGTAGGAACCAGCCCTACTGCACTAAAGCAAATTTCCTATTTGTTATACCTGCCGTTGGCCCCCAGAAAGTTTCTCAGAAGGAAATGTGGCTCTCAATGATAGGAAGGTTCCACAGCGGTGTCGGAGACTTCTCCTTCCAAGCCTCTACCATCTTTTCTGCAGATCCAAGAAACGACTCCTTTATCTGTTGAGAATATAATACTTTTATTTGAGAGTCTAGGGTGACACTTATCGCACAATCCCGTTTCGTCTCCCGGCTGGAAAGAGCCTGGATCTGTGGAACTCACAGCAGCAGGCTCCCCCGCCCCTCAAAATAAATAAAAACAAAACCATGGATCAATTTCCAAGCTGGTTAAAACAGTCTCCTAAGAATACAGAATTTTTTTAAAATAATAAAAAAGGTATTAAGCTGTTTATTATGGTTACGATGCTACTAAGGAGGCTCAACGCTGGTTTGCTTTGTGTGCTTGTAAACAAGCGAAGTCTGGCTGCCCGTCCGTGGATGCACAACAAGGGTTTGGTCGTTGTGGTGGGTATTCACACACAGGCTGCCTTGGAATTCCAGAATCCCAAACTGCAATCCCATACCCTCTTACACGTTGCAGGAAATGACCTTGAGGTGGATTAGGGTAGGCAGGTAATGGTGTAGAGTGGATGGAGATAGCATTTGAAAATGGTTGTGTGTATGTGTTTGTGTATTGTTCCAACCAAATAATGGGGTTTTTTTGGAGGAGTCCTGAGTCGGGGAGGCCTGCTCGTGACAGGATCAAATAATAACTTTTAAAAATCTAATTTGGGACAAAAGAAAGTTATCAGGCAGGGCACCACTGACATCCTGAATTGATCTGTCTCTGGCCACCCTCCCCGCCGCACTGTGGCTTGTGTGAATGTACCCCACATTGCGGCTTGGCAGGTTCTGGGCTGGTGAAAAACAACCAACCAACCATTAAGAAGAGCACATACGAAGTTAGGATTGGGAGAGGTGGCGAAGTCATTGCGAGTAAACGATTCAAACCCAGCAAAATGCTGGAATACTTTTTTTTTATGGCTGCAAATGTCGCTGTCCTGGGTGTGTTGTTGAGTAAGGCGAACACTTAGAGGTCAGGAATTCTCTGGCCTGCAGGCCTGTGCTGCCATCTTCCCCAAACCATGCCTTTTCCCTGCTCATCTGGGTCTAATCCTGCACTGGCTGTGTACCGTGGCTGGGAAGAGATCCTTATGGCAGAAAAGGCAGCGGCGCTTAATTCCAGCTGACAAGCGGCGCTTACAGCTGTTTGAAGCCGCTCATTTAAGCGAGTGGGGGAGAGGAAGAAAAAGGTATCTGCCAATTTCGAGGTGAGGTGTGGGGCTCACCCGTCTATTGTGCTATCATAGCGATGTCATGCGATTGGGAGGTCAAATTCAGCCTGCGAGGCCCGTCCTGATCAGGTTCCAGCCCAGGAAACCAAAAAGGTCTCCCACCCCCGGATCCATCTGGGTTTGTGCCCTTTTCCCCTAAAGCCTCGCCAGATTTTGGGGCGGCAACGTCGAGGAGCAGATTTTGAGAAGTCGCCTTTCTCTGTGCCCTGCCGCTTCCCTCTGATCCAAGCCTTTATCATTAGACCAAAGCAGTTGTTCCTAAGTTGAACAAAATGAAACAAAAGCCCCATTCCCAGCCAGAACTCTTTTTTTGCAATTCCTTTCCATTTCTCCTGGTGAATGGGGAAGGGAGGGGAGCGTTCCGAAGGTTTGATACGGAGGAAACGGGCACTGACAAAATAAGGAATTGCTCAGTTACGGGGACTTTGCTCTCCCAACCAAAGTGCCAAAGATTGTGGCGAGGAGAGAGGTGCCTTTACCCTGAAATACCTTTGGGTGCTGCAATTTTTCACAGTACATTTACAAGCTGCCAAAGACCAGAAGCGAACCCCCAAACTCCAGAAGGGCTCCAGGACCTTCTGCCCAGAGAATGCGGAGGTTTGGAGGCGATGTGAAGAGAAAGGGAGGAGGTGTTTGATGGGTGAGTAAATACTGGGGAGCCCTGCCCCCTGAACCTCTTTGCAAGGGGCTTGGGAACGCCTGCCCCACGGCAGAACCTAGCACTGACGCTCGTCTCAAGCAATGGGCAAGCGTTCGAATCTCCCCACTGCCTTCTCCTTCCTGGCTCAGCCAATGTGGAGAATTTGTTTACCACACCCGGTGGGCCTTCGAGGGGCAGAGGGAATTCGGGGGGAGGAGGGTCGCCGATTTAATAAGCTGTATACACAAATCCGGGTCGGTTCAATCGCGCCCGAGTCAGCTTGGCCGGCTCCCAAACGGAGTTGAGGTTGCCATCTTGGGACAGGTCCCGTGGAAGCGCCACAGCCTCGTTTCTGCAGCCTTCCAGAGGCTGAGCGTGAAAAAACGAACGAGGACACTGCAAGGGGGAAGGCGAGGGCGAAAGCGCAGGGAGCGGCCGACCCCTTCCCTCCCACCTGTCTTGAGGGTCCACCTCACTCGGCCATGACCCTGCATGTGCCCAGCCCACGAAGGTCCAGTCTGCTTCTCAGTGGAGGAGGAGGAAAGAGCCTTTTCCGCCCGTCCCGCATCGCAGGGCGGAGGTGTCCGCCGGCCACAGCCGCACCTTCTACTGCCGCAGGCTCCAAACCAGAAAAAACATCCCTCTGGAATCAGCAACGTGAGCAGGCCGCTAGTTTCACGAAGTAGCTGTTAAGGGTTTTTTTTTATTTCTTATTTCTTCTCTGCTTCTGTTCCATCCGCGGCTGGGACAGCCTCCGGCTCCCATAACAGGAACTCGTGCAGAAGGGTGTTCACTGTTTCCGGACACTCCATCATGACCATGTGGCTGCCTTCGTCAATCACCTTCAGGAAAGCGATGAGCAGGATCTGGGGGGGAAGGAAAGGGGCAGAAGGTGTGAAAGGCAGTTCCCTGCTCCGTGGAAGCCTAGAGGGCTCATCTCACGACCCTCTTGTTATAACAATAATAATTACTATAATTACTTATATTATTTCAATTTATATACAGTGGACGCTTGGGTTGCGAATGTGATCCGTGCAGGATGCATGTTCGCAACCTGCAACGTTCGCAACCCGCGTCTGCGCACGCACAGGTTGCAATTTGACGCTTCTGCGCATGCACAAAGCGCGATTTAGCACTTCTGCACATGCGTGACCACCGAAACCCAGAAGTAACCCGTTCCGGTACTTCCATGTTTCGGCGGTCCGCAACCCAAAAAGACGCAACCTGAAGCGGCTGTAACCCAAGGTATGACTGTACTGCACTTAAACAGAAGATTCCAGAGTGGTGTACAACGTTAAAAACACATTACAGAACTTTAATGATAAAAATATAATTTAAAAAGCCATAGTGACAGACAGCCTAATAATAAAATAGTCATAATAACAGTCCTCTCCCCCACACTTTCACAGGCCACATAGATTATTTAATGGCCACATGCCTTGGTAAAGAGGAATGTTTTTTGCCTGGCACCTAAAGACATGTAGTGGCAACAGGCAAACTTCTCCGGGGAGAGCATCCCACAATCGGGGAGCCACCACCGAGAAGGTCCCGCTCTCTTGTTGCCGCCCTCCAAACCTCTCTAGGGTGGGGGGCATAAAGAATGTCCTCAGATAACAAGCACAGGGTCTGGGTTGGTTCATACAGAGAGAGGTATCCTTAAGGTATCATCATTATTTACTATTATCATTAAAAGCAGGAAGAAGGGAAGGGCACTCACTCAGTGGTAGATAATTCCAACGCTAGGGGCTACTCTGCTCACCAATCTTGTCTACCCATTTGCTCCCCACCCCGCCTGCCCTTTTACACCTCACCCATCCCTCACCTGTCCCCACCAAAGGGCCCTCCACTCTTTCCCCAAACCCCACCCCAAGCTTTTAAAGGAGGGGAGGAACTACACCCAGCCGTTTGCTAAACCAGTGTTTCCCAACCACTGTTCCGCGGCACACTAGTGTGCCGCGAGATGTTGCCTGGTGTGCCGCGGGAAAAATTAAAAAAATGAAAGATTTTTTTTAAAAAGTCAAATTTTCGATTGGGGCGCCGTCACTAGATGACCCCTGGGGTTCCCTCCCTCCCTCCCGCTCTGCGCCTCTCTCCTCCTCCTCCTCCGGGGAGGCCCTTCCTGGCTCTCGGCCAAGGCTTGGCGGCTGCCACTCACTCACTCGCTCGCCCACCCGTCCCTCCATCCCTGCACCCGGCCTCTCCCCCTCCGTCCCTGGCACGGGGGCTGCCGGGATCCGTAGTCCCCTCGCCCTTGGGCTCCGCGCCCGCGCGGGGTGCGCGAACTACGTTTCCCAGCGTGGCCTGGCGGGCCGGGCGTTTTGTTTGAAGCGCTCTTCTCCCGGCCATGGAATGAGCGCAGCGGCGGCGGCCGGGCGGGCAGGGGCTCTTCCGCGCAGACCCCGCGCAGCCTGCCTGCGCCCCCCGGAGATCGGGCGGCAGGATGGAGCCCGGGGATCCCCGCGGAGGCGGAGCGGCGGAGGCGGAGGCTGCCCCCCAGGTAGGGCTGCGTCGGGGTTTTTTTTATTTTTGCAATGCTGCATCCACGCCAGAGGGGACGCATCGGACCGCGGGGAGACCCCTTGGCGGGCGTGCAAGGCAATGCATGCGTGCAGGCGTTGCATGGAGTGCAGTGCAATGCAATGGCAACGCGGCGCCCTGCATGCATGCATGCAACTTCCACCGGCGCTCCGGACTTGGCAGGTGAGGGGGGTCCCCAGTGGGCGGCAGAGAGAGCCGGGAGGGCGAAGGGGAGCCGGGGGGAGCAGCGCTGCTCCCCGAGCCGAGCCCGGGGGGAAACTTCGGCGTTGTTGCGCCGGGTGTTGGAAGCGGAGGCTGGCGGGGGCCCCTCACCTGCAAAACCTGGTCGCCTCTCATATATTTCGTGCATTGCATTCATCGCCCGCTTTCTCCTCCAAGGAGCTCCCGGGGGCGCGCGTGGTTCTCCCCGTGTTATCCTCGCAACAACAGCCCTGCGAGGTGGGTCAGGCGAGTGGCCCAAGGGAGCACCCAGGGATTGTCCTGGCCAGGTGGGGTGATTTGAACCCTGCTCTCTGCCCGGTCTTCGTCCTCATTTAGCCCCCACATGTGCATGACTGTGCATGACTGAGGTTTTCCCCCCTCGTCTTGGCTATGGTGTGAGTCTGTGCTGTTAATTAATGGGGTTCTGCCTTCGGAGAAGATGAGCCAGCCCTCAAGGAGGTGATTATGTAATTTGCTAGCAATTCATGTCCCTCCCGGCGTGACGCTGCGCGCTGACGTCACGGGGCTGTAATGGTGGTGTGCCTCGAGATTTTTTTCATGAAACAAGTGTGCCTTTGCCCAAAAAAGGTTGGGAAACACTGTGCTAAACTGCAGTGCAGTGGCGTAGCGTGGGTTGTCAGCACCCGGGGCAAGGCAAGTAATTTGCGCCCCCTAACCCGTGGATTTTAGTAGGGGCAGAGAGCTGCGAGTGTGAGCGCGCCCCCCCCAGATGTTGCGCCCGGTGCGCCCGGCCCCCCCTGCACCCCCCATGCTACGCCACTGCTGCAGTGTGAAGCACCTCCCAGCTCCCTTGTTATTTTTTCCCTTTCTTTTTTTTAAAAAATATTTTTATTAGTAATTTCAACGTAACATTTTATCATCCTTAAATTCCCCCCTATTTTCCCCTCCCTCCTCTCCAAAATATAGCCCACCCTCCCCCCCCCCCGACTTCTCTCAGCTCCTCTCTCTGGTTTATCAACAAGTGTTATTTCCTGCATGTTACAAAACTGTACAGATCCTTAATTTATCTATCTAGATGTTATCAATAAGAAGTTTGTGAATGTTTATTCAAAACCTGCCAAGGAGTCCAGTTCATTTTTTTTGTTCCTTTAAATACTTTGTAAAGGGTTCCCATTCATCTTTAAAATCACAGTTATCCTTGTCATGTAGTTTGTGTGTCCGTTTTGCCAATTCTGCATAGTTTTGCCAATTTATGCAGAACTGGCATACGCCCCTCTGTTAAACAGCTTGCCTTAGGCTGCAGCTGGTGCAAATTTCAGGTTCTTATGACCCTCCAGGAGTTCCCCGTTTCTGGGCATATAACCATAGAATTGAACAGCACTCAAGTGCCCTGAGGCACACCAGAAAACATTATCCCGTTTCTCTGGCCAGAGGTGAAGTTGCTACTTTTGCAGAATTCTACAGTAAGAAACACTCCCAGGCAAGGAGTGGGATTTCTTTTCTTTTTTTTCTCCCCCCCCCCATTTATTTATTTTATTTCATTCACATAATATACATTCTTTACAACAAACAACTCCAAAATAAGCAGACAACTCCAAAATAAAATCATTATGTAACAAAACCACAAGTTTCATGTTTTCATTTACACTGATCTCCTCTCCGATACCTTTACTTGATATTTCTTGCTGCTTCCTGCTTTCCTTATAGAATCTTTATAAAAATTTAAATCTCTTACATACTATGCCAATCTTTAACAATTTCAATTAATCCCTTCACCTCCCTCCCCTCCACCAGTGTGTGATCTTCTTTACCTACTATTATTGTTGTTGAATAAAAGGTAAAGGTACCCCTGCCCGTACGGGCCAGTCTTGCCAGACTCTGGAGTTGTGTGCTCATCTCACTCAAGAGGCCGGGGGCCAGCGCTGTCCGGAGACACTTCCGGGTCACGTGGCCAGCGTGACGAAGCTGCATCTGGCGAGTCAGCGCAGCACACGGAAACGCCGTTTACCTTCCCGCTGGTAAGCGGTCCTTATTTATCTACTTGCACCTGGGAGTGCTTTCAAACTGCTAGGTTGGCAGGCGCTGGGACCGAGCAACAGGAGCGCACCCCGCCGCAGGGATTCGAACCGCCGACCTTTCGATCGGCAAGCCCTAGGCGCTGAGGCTTTTACCCACAGCGCCACCCGCGTCCCTATTATTGTTGTTATTGTTGCATTATTCACTTTATTTGTTATTCCATCCTTGATATATTATTATCCTATCTCTTTGCGCCTTTTAAACTTTTCCATATTATTTTTTAAATGGAGTGGGATTTCACAGGGATTCAGGGCAGGTTTTGCAAAAGCGTTACCTCAGCCATCCGCTGGTCCTCCTCCACAGGGACAAATTTGTCGTGCATGCCGTGAACGAGGAGGACGGGGACGGTCAGCTCCGCATGGTAGACCTCATCCCCCTCCGGCCAGTACTGGCCACTCATCATGGCTCTCAGGACGAAGGACGAGACGTTGAAGGCGTTCCCTTCCTTCAGCAGCTGCTTCTCCTTGGCGCCTTGGCGGGCAAAGCCAGCCCTGCAAGGGGAGCCAAGCGGGCAGGGTTAATTCAGCACGGATATTTATTCGTTTATTTATTTATTCATTTGTTTAATACTTGTCATCATTCTCTTCGGCTTTTCAAACAAAGGCTCCCAGGGCTGCTGAGAAATCAGTGAAAGAAAGAAAAGGAATGAAGGCAATATACAAAGACATGGCACAAAAGGAATATACTCTGGGAGGGAGAAGGAAATCAGCAAACCCAGGGCTTAGACTATAAAAAAGACATGGCACAAAAGGAAATTACTTTAAAAATAAAAAGCTACACCCACACACTTCAACAGGAGTTCATGCTCAGGAGCCGTGGAATGCAGAGCGACAGGTCTTTTTAAATTAATTAATTAATTTGATTAGACAGTCATACAAACATTAATACACATACACTTACAACCATAATATCATAATAACAACAACAAAAAAAGGAAAAGAAGAAAAACGAAAGAAAAAAGTTAAGAAGTAAATAAAATAGGTGGATGATAATAGACCTTTGTGACTTCCCTCCACCAGTGCTTGTCATTTTTTCATTCAAGTTCTTATTTACATTGCAAATCATGTACCACTACATTATTTCTTATAATATACTATTATATTATCAAGACAGCTTTATAGAATCATAGAATCATAGAATCATAGAGTTGGAAGAGACCACAAGGGCCATCGAGTCCAACCCCCTGCCAAGCAGGAAACACCATCAGAGCACTCCTGACATATGGTTGTCAAGCCTCTGCTTAAAGACCTCCAAAGAAGGAGACTCCACCACACATATGTTTAGACCTTAGTCTAAACATATCAACATGCTATCTTTAGAGCAGTGTTTTTACTCATATACTCTTCAAACCACAACCATTGTGACCTTAATTTCTGATGTGTTTGATATCTTATTGTCGCACTTAATTTTAACAGTTCTATAAATTCTGTAAATTTATATAGCCAATCCTCTTTTGTGGGTATGTAATTTCCTTTCCGGGATGCGGGTGGCGCTGTGGGTTAAACCACAGAGCCTAGGACTTGCCGATCAGAAGGTCAGCGGTTCAAATCCCCGCGACGGGATGAGCTCCCGTTGCTCTGTCCCTGCTCCTGCCAACATAGCAGTTCGAAAGCACATCAAAAGTGCAAGTAGATAAATAGGTACCACTCCGGCGGGAAGGTACACGGCATTTCTGTGTCCTGCTCTGGTTCGCCAGAAGCAGCTCAGTCCTGCTGGCCACATGGCCCGGAAGCTGGACGCTGGCTCCCTCGGCCAATAAAGCGAGATGAGCGCCGCAACCCCAGAGTTGGCCACGACTGGACCTAATGGTCAGGGGTCCCTTTACCTTTAATTCCCTTTCCAGTTCTTTGCAAGGAATAACCGGGCTGCTGCAGTTGCATAAAAGAACAATTTCTTTCCTGTCTTGTGGTATTTCACCTCCTGCTATACTGAGTAAGAACGCAGAGTGGCAGATCTGTGGGACCTGGCATTTTGTCTTGGAGACCCCCAGAGACCCCCAAAAAGGAAGATGTCTACTCACTTGAGGAAGCTCCAGGCCAGACAGGGGGAGAGGCAGCGCAGGACACACGTGGGCATGTTGAAGATGGAGCAGAGACTGGGCTCCAAGGCCGTGGGACCCCCGCCATTGATCATTATCACCTTGTGGACCAGATCCGGGTATTCGTGCGCCAGGAAGGTGCAGAAGGAGACTCTGTGGGAAGAAGCAAGCGGGCAAGTTGGAGGGTGCAATAAGTTGGAGGGTGGGGGGGATGAGTGTTCAGACCCCTGGGCTCTCACTTGTGGGGTGCCTCAGGGCTCCGTCCTCTCCCCATGCTTTTTAATATCTATATGAAGCCGCTGGGAGAGATCACCAGGGGGTTTGGGCTGGGTGTTCATCAGTATGCGGATGATACCCAGCTCTAACTCTCTTTTATTTTTTATATTTTTTTCAAAAAAAATTATTCATTTTTTAAGACAAATAAAAACACAAACAGAAAAGACAAATAATACAAACAAATTATTGTCATATCCTTATTTTTCTAAACATTGTTAGGTGGGCTTCCCCAAGCCCCACCTATCATTTTACTTCATCTTTAGCACTTTACATATATCATAATTTCTAACCATCTTTTTTCCCACACTTACTTTAACCATAAAAAACTTCACATTTTATTGCTTATAAAACACACTATCTTCTACTTCTAACCCTACCGCCTTTATCCACTTCCAAAGCTATTCTAAGATTTAAATATTAACATATTTTTTCAAATATTCCAGCTCTACCTCTCCTTTAAATCAGAACCAGTGAAGGCGGTGAAGGTCCTGTGTGAGTGTCTGGAGGCGGTTGGAGGTTGGATGGTAGCTAACAGATTGAGGTTGAATCCTGACAAGACAGAAGTACTGTTTTTGGGGGACAGGGGGTGGGCGGGTATGGGGGACTCCCTGGTCCTGAATGGGGCAACTGTGCCCCTGAAGGACCAGGTGCGCAGCCTGGGAGTCATTTTGGACTCATAGCTGTCCATGGAGACGCAGGTCAATTCTGTATCCAGGGCAGCTGTTTACCAGCTCCATCTGGTACGCAGGCTGAGACCCTATCTGCCTGTGGACTGCCTCACCAGAGTGGTGCATGCTTTGGTTATCTCCCGCTTGGACTACTGCAATGCGCTCTACGCGGGGCTACCTTTGAAGGTGACCCGGAAACTACAACTAATCCAAAATGCGGCAGCTAGACTGGTGACTGGGAGCGGCCGCCAAGACCATATAACACCGGTCTTGAAAGACCTACATTGGCTCCCAGTACGTTTCCGAGCACAATTCAAAGTGTTGGTGCTGACCTTTAAAGCCCTAAATGGCCTCGGTCCAGTAGACCTGAAGGAGCGTCTCCATCCCCATCATTCTGCCTGGACACTGAGGTCCAGTGCTGAGGGCCTTCTGGCGGTTCCCTCCCTGCAAGAAGTGAGGTTACAGGGAACCAGGGAGAGGGCCTTCTCGGTGGTGGTGCCTGCCCTGTGGAACGCCCTCCCATCAGATGTCAAAGAGAACAACAACCACCAGACTTTTAGAAGACATCTGAAGGCAGCCCTGTTTAGGGAAGCTTTTAATGTTTAATAGGTTATTGTATTTTAATATTACGGGTTGTTTTCGTTTTTATTATGTATTTTGTGTTTTTATGTTGTGATTTTATGTTGTGAACCACCCTGAGACTTGCAGGAATAAGGTGGTATACGACTACTACTACTACTAATAATAATAATAATAATGGTGATGATGATGATGATATTTGGAGCCCACCCTGGATGATAGAAATTGTAGTCCAGAACACCAAGTTATGAGTAGGCTGGGTCATATCCCACGCCAGAAAGGAGGAAGCTTGCCAACAACTGCTATTCACGTGCGTTGAAAGAGCCTCCATTTTCAAGAGCAGTCTACCTTCACGTTCCTGAGTGGGGGGAATAACAGAAGGTGCCCCTATGCCTGGCTTCCTGGGATGATGGTGATGAAAATAATAAACTGTAGTCTGCTGACTACCAATGGTCCATGAGCTTCATTCAGGTCACCTGCAGTGTACCTGTGAATTTGTGTCTGAAGTTGGGAGAGGACACATCCATTACATCAAATATTTTTGGCCACTGTGGGGGCAGGAGGCTGCATTAATATATTATAATAATTCATTATTTATACCACGCCCCTCTGGCTGGGTTTCCCCAGCCACTCTGGGCGGCTCTCAATCAAATATTAAAAACCACAATACAGCATTAGATGGGCTCTTCTGATTTCTCTCACATTGCAGCCTTTTTATCACTGTGCTGCCAAACAGCGTTTCCTCGCTTACATTTCCCAGTCTCCATCTTCCTTCTTTCCCTTATGTTTACATTTAAAAAACGGTTTCAGTGATGCGTCTCTTTTCTTTTGGTTCATACGCTCCGACCTACTGCTCCCTTCGAAATATACCTAAGCTAAATTCTCCCTCCTCTCAGGGGATGGTCTCCAGTTCTGGAATAAGCTGCAGAAATCCCCTACAGCAAAACCGACATTTGATGGAACACGGGGCAGAGTGAAATGGAGTGTGCGGGGGGTGGTGAAGCTCATAAATGGCTCTCCCCTCCCTGCTCATTTAATCCCCAGAACAACCTTGCGAGGAAGGTTAGAATAAGGTTTAGAAATCAACACACACACACTCCCGGCCCGCTCCAATGAAACCAGCATTCAACGGAATGGAATGAACGGGGTTGAGGACCCTCTCCTCGCCCTTACCCGTAGGAGTGCCCAATGAGGATGTTCCTCTTCCGAGCGTAGCGCTTGAAGACGGCCCGCATGTCCTCCGCCAGGGCGTAAAAAGTGTAGGCGGCGGCGATTTGGGGGGCCGAACTGCACCCATGTCCGGCCAGGTCGGGGGCCACCACCTCGTAGCCCAGCTTGGCGAAGAAGTCCAGCTGCTCCTTCCAGATGTCCAGAGAGCCCCCCACGCCATGGATGAAGAAGAGGACCACGTCGCCGTGGGTGCCCTTGCAGCTGGTGATGAACTTGGTGCAGTCGACGTTAACCACTTTCTTCGGCTTCCGCCGGCGGCGCTTGGCAGGGCCAGGACCGGGGGGGTTGGCCGAGGGGGTGGCTGCGCCGGTGCCAGCAGCGTCCGAGACCTCCAGCTCCATCGTGCCGTTGGCTTCGGAGCCGTTCTGGCAGTGGAGGATGTCGGCGCGGACGGCATCGCCCAGGTTCTCGATGACCATCTGGCCGTTGCGGTAGACGGTGATGCGGCGCTTGCAGCGCACGACGCCCGCCGTCTGGGGCGCGTCCTCGGCCCCCGGTGGGTGTACGGGGGCTAGGTGCTTGACCCGCAGGACCCGGCCGGGCTTCACCTCCACGAAGCTAAACCCGTCGCTGGACTCGACGCTCTCCAGGGGACCCACGGCGTTGGGGGTCTTGCCCATCAGGCAACACAGGAGCCCGTCCGTGATGCTGGTGAACATCGTGATTCCTGCATCAAGAGGAGTTGGGGGGGGGATGACACAATAGTGTGTGAGACTCTTTGGGGTCATGGGGTCGACGTGGGTTCCCTGAAAGAGAATTCCTCTCAACAACCCTGCGAAGTAGGCCAGTGTCATTATCCCCGGGTCCCCGATTCCTGTGCTACAGATGAAAAGACATGGAGCACATTCACCCCACACATTGAAAGCACTTTGATACCACAACAGTCATGGCTTCCCCCCCAAAAAAATAATTGGGGAAACAGTAATTACTTAGAAGAGTCCTGAGAGTTCCTAGGGGACCCCCTCTTCCCTCCCCACAGTAAATAAAGCTGAAGTAAATAAATTAATATGTAAAAACTACTGTGGTTTTTTTTTGCAGGGAGGGTATTCCATTTTGCTTCCAAATTGATGGTGGGCTCTGAACCACTGGCATTTGTCATTAGGACACGACGGCGCGCTGCAACATTTTGCTGCAGTTCAGATATGTGTGCATGTGTATGTGTGTGTGTGTAACAGGATTGTTCATATATATATATATATATATATACACACACACACTCTCTCTCACACACACACACAGTGGTGCCTCTGGTTGTGAACGTGATCCGTTCCGGAGGCCCGTTCGCAACACGAAAAGAGCGCAACCCGCAGCGGCGCGTCTGCGCACGCACGGGTTGCAATTCACCACTTCTGCGCATGTGCGTGACATCATTTTGCACTCATGTGCGAGCAGCGAAACCCAGAAGTAACCCTTTCGCTCTGTCCCACGAGACCAGGGCCCTGCAGGACTTGACATCTTTCCGCAGGGCCCGCAAGACAGAGCTGTTCCACCAGGCCTTTGGCAATCTTCACAGAGCTCTAGCCCAATGGTTGCCATTAATCTGATTTGAACTGATTTTATAATGAAATGATTTTAGAATGTTGTATCATTTTACTGTTGTTGGCCGCTCTGAGCCCGGCTTCGGCTGGGGAGGGCATGATATAAATAAGATTTTATTATTGTTCTTGTTATTCTGGTACTTCCGGGTCGCCGTGGGATGTAACCTGAAAGAACGTAACATGAAGCGGACGTAACATGAGGTATGACTGTATTGCAATATCGTTCCAATAGCAGCCTCATTATAACAATACCAATTTTCTAACAGGAATGTTCTTGGTCCAGCTGCCAGCTAACCCTGCAGGAACATTCCATTCCATTCCACTTCTCAGTTTTCTTTTCTGACTGGCTTGCGCTCAGATCTAGTGTCTGCTGTTGTTTTACTCCCTTGGCTTCTTAAATTATGATTTATTCCATTTGCACCTTTCCTCCAAGTAGCTCACGGTTGCAAGGCACATAGTTCTCCTCGCCCTCCCACAACCCTGTGAGAAAGTTCGGCTGAGAGACAGTAACAAACCCCATCCTCCACCTGCAAGCGTCAGGGCTGAGTGGGAAGATTTGAACCTGGTCTCTCCCAGTCCAGCGCTCTATCCACTACACCAGACTGCCTGTACTTCAAAACTTGCACTACAGTGGTGCCTCGCAAGACGAAATTAATTCGTTCCGCAAGTTTTTTCTTCTTGCGAGTTTTTCGTCTTGCGAAGCACGGTTTCCCATAGGAATGCATTGAAAATCTATCAATGCGTTCCTATGGAAACCACCTTCAGACCAGGTCCGGGGACAGTCTGTCCCCCGACCTCTTCTGAAGGCTGGGGGGGGGGGACAAGGGCTTTTCTTCCCACCGCCAGCCTTCAGAAGGCTGTTCTGAAGGCTGGCGGTGGGAAGAAAAGCCCTTCTCCCCACCTCCCGCCCCGCAAGCTCCGGGGACAGGAGGGCTTTGCTGCCGCCCACCAGCATTTTAAGATCGCCCCGGGACAGCGGAGAAGTCTCCGCTGTCCCGGGGAGGCAGGCGGGGGGGAGCAAAGTCTTTTGCCCCCCGCCGGCCTTCAGAAGAGGTCCAGGACCTCTTCTGAAGGCCGGCGGTGGGCGAAAGTCTTTGCTCCCGACCGCCAGCATTTTAAAAGAGGTCCCCGGAGATTTCCCTATGGGCTTTTTTCTTGCGAAGCAAGCCCATAGGGAAATTCGTCTTGCGGAACGACTCAAAAACGGAAAACTCTTTCGTCTTGCGAGTTTTTCGTTTTGCGAGGCGTTCGTCTTGCGAGGCACCACTGTACTTAATGCTTCAAACATGGTGTGCGTGCCAACACGGCCCCATTCCTGTTTATCCCTGGTGCCAATCCTGTCTCCACCCACGACTTGAGTTTGCTGTTAGAGGCAGCCCTGAGGATTATGTTTATTATAAACTGTCAGAACGCCAGAGCTTCTTGGGCTCCTAACGACGAGAGATTAAAAAAAATTAAAATCAAGCCAATGCAGGGGACTTTTGTTGAAAGAAAACAAATTGCACAGAAACCACAAAGAACACAAACCATCAGTCCAAATGCACTTTAAAAATAACCTCAGATAAGAACAGATCCATTTGTATACAAGTCATCGGACCATCACAAAAGCTTTACGCAGCGTGGAAGCCACACAAGGTCACGTCAAACAGTACTTAACTCAGATCAAAGCAAAAAAAAATGAAAGTATATACAACACTAAAATAAAATTCCAAGTGCCAAAGCTCCTGGGCAGATGGCAAAATGCCTCTTAAATAAATTAAAGGAAAGCACGAAGCAAACTTAAAATTCTAAATCTCTCTCACAACACACAGAATGCTCTGAGGAGATTTCTCCGAACTTCAGCTCCTGCGGATAAGAGAAGGGGCATCTCTCTCCCCACAGCACGAGAGAGGAGAAGGAAACCCCAAATCTTTGGAGTGGGGGAATCCTAAGGCTGGGAGGGAAACTTGGGGGAGAAGAGGGGGAAGCCCTTGACAGAAGGGTATGTTGCCTAAATTACCTGTAATCTGCTATTCATTTTGGAAAGTTTATTTACAGTGGTACCTCGGGTTAAGAACTGTTCCGGAGGTCCGTTCTTAACCTGAAACTGTTCTTAACCTGAAGCACCACTTTAGCTAATGGGGCCTTACGCTGCCGCCGCCACGCGATTTCTGTTCTCATCCTGAAGCAAAGTTCTTAACCCAAGGTACTATTTCTGGGTTACCAGAGTCTGTAACCTGAAGCATCTGTAACCCGAGGTACCACTGTACTTATTTTTTTATTTATTTCGTAAAAATTTTATTCTCCTAGATCATGAAAAGAAAAATGACTTCAACTGGTCAGCTAAATCAGGTGAGGGGAGTCGATGGGTTTCAAACCCTCAGTGAGTTAGGGGCTTCCCCGGCATGTGAAGACCCACTCTGGCAGATGGAGCAGATGAGACTAATAATAATAATAATAATAATTTATTATTTATACCCCACCCATCCGGCTGGGTTTCCCCAGCCACTCTGGGCGGCTTCCAACAAAGTTTTAAAGTACAGTGGTCTGTTAAACGTTAAAAGCTTCCCTGAACAGGGCTGTCTTCAGATGTCTTCTAAAAGTCTGGTTGTTGTTTTTCTCTTTGACATCTGGTGGGAGGGCGTTCCACAGGGCGGGTGCCACCACCAAGAAGGCCAAATGTGGGCCCAATGGTCAAGAAGGCGGTTTCTGCCCATGCCATAAAGGGAAGTGAGGGGCAGGTGGGGCTCATCCATCTGGGAAGGAAGCCCATCTAGGAGAAGGAGAACTCTGGCCCTAAACCTCCACTGCCCTGTGGGACATCTTTGGGAGAAGAAAAGGCTCAGGAGTAGACCCTCCACAAATCCATAGTGGAGTCCCTAAGGCAGTTGGATGATGCCTTGTCTGCCTCCTTCCGGCAACTCCTGCAGCCCAGCTGGTGCCAAACGTCTTGCTTTGGTTTCCTTTGGGCCAGGCCGAGAGGGGGGTCTTGTCGTCAGCAGCGGAGGAAGGGGCCTGCCTCCCCCCACTCAGCCGCCCTACAGCTGGGGGGGCAGTGGGTGGACCATTTGGGCAGCGGGGAGCCTGCGCACGCCCAAGCCACCGCGTCTCTCCCAGGAGAGACATCGCAAAACCAAATTACGTGTGAATTTCAAAGCATGACTTTCCGTTCTCGTATCATTTCAGAAAGTTCAAATTGGACAGATCCACCTTTCGGTGCGAACTAAATCAAATTTGCTTCACAGCCTAACCACTTCTGCTGGAATGTGGCCCCCAATGGGTTTCCACCAGGGCAATGTGGCCCTCGCTCCAGAAGCAGCGCTGAAGCCATCAAACAAGGCCTACCCAATACTCCCACGCCAGATTAATCTTTAGTTCAAAATCTGCAAAAGGACTGACCCCCTGCCCCCATCTCCCATCCTTGCAAATCCACGAGTCACTTAAGGAGGGAGGATTTGCGGTGGCTTGGGTGCGCTGCAGGCCCCGCGGTGAGTGCCGCCTGGCATTTTGTCACCCCCCTCAGCGATGACACCTAGGGCGGTCCGCATCCACCGCACCCCCCTTCCTCCACCCCTGCCTGTTGTCTGGGCAGCCCAGGGCCTCCAGACACACTGCCCGGGCTTGGGCCCAAGGGAGATCACTTCATTGCTGCAAATGCAGCAGTTTGACTTCACCTCTGGAGATGTACCGCATTTTTCTCTCTATAAGAAGCACTTTTCCCCTCCTAAAAAGTAAGGGGAAATATGTGTGCGTCTTATGGAGCGAATGCAGGCTGCGCAGCTATCCCAGAAGCCAGAACAGCAAGAGGGATCGCTGCGCAGCGAAAGCAGCAATCCCTCTTGCTGTTCTGGCTTCTGGGATTCAGACTACCATATTTTTCGCTCTATAGGACGCACTTTTCCCCCTCCAAAAATGAAGGGGAAATGTGTATGCGTCCTATGGAGCAAATGCAGGCTCCTTGGCTTCAGCAATAGCAACGTGAAGCCTCCGAAGCGCAGAGGGAGAGCTCCCCCCACGCTCCAGAGGCTTCACATTGCTTTCGCTGAAGCCACCTGAAGCCCCCGGAGCGCAGGGAACTCCCGCTGCTATCCGGGGGCTTCAGGCAGCTATCCGCAAGCCTTTGGAGCGCAGCAGGAGTTCCCGCCGTGCT